ATGGTGGTTGCGACGCGTGGTCACCTCGGCTTTTCGCACCGTGAATCCGCCGTTCCTCGCCGAAATTTAAGGCGTCACGGTGGATCGCGTCGCGAGACCCCCTTTTGCGCGCTCGCGGCGAAGCGCGCGCGAGCTCGAACGGCGAGAATCGCGACAATAAGTCGGCCCCGGGTTCCCTATCGACTCGCAACGTTCCCCGTCTACCGGCCGTCGTGTTTTATCACAATGGAGAGCTCGTTATACTAGTTTTTCCTTCTCCCGACGCTTCATCCACCGAATCGCAAGATAAATAACTGAGAATCTACCGAATAAAGATAAATAATTGGACGAACTTCTTTCGAATTCGAGAATTCGGTTCCGAGAACGTTCCTCCCGCCGTCTTTAATGTAGCCTCGGTGATATACAACCCGTTTCGCTTTGATCTCACCCACCGTTGCCGATGCGGGGGCTCGTGAAAGTCCGACCTGGCACAAGCTAAAACGCAATATGCACTCGATACGCGACGACAGCCGCTGCGTGCAACAGCGATTTTACGTGGCGCGGAGTGACGCAAGGTGGTGGCCGCGCGAGCCCTAAGGAAGCGAGGGGACATAATCCGGTCCGAGAATATGGAAATGTTATGGAAAAGAGGTCGAACGACGTTTCCACGTGCTCGGCCGCCGGCACATGTGGAAACGATTCCTGGGGCCGATCATCTTCGTCACGGTGGTCGAAAACCACGCAGATGCGCCGCTTCAGCCCCTCCTCGCGTTACAGAACGTTGGACACTCGTCGGGCCCCCACAGCGTGCTGCCTCGGCCTCACGGAGCTCTTCTCACGGGCTCCTCTGTCGCGTCCACTTCGCTTCTCTCCCGAAGACATCGATTTTCAAGGGGGAGGGGGGGGATAATTACTTTCTTGAATTTTCGAGTCGGACTTCACGTCCGTTCATGACGACTTGATCCGCGACGTCTCGCGAAGATGAAGATTCCCGCGCCGATCCTCCTCCGTAATCCGTCCCTTTTCCCCCCCGGACTGCCAGCAACGTCCGCATTCGCGCGTTCCTGCGACAGATTTGCGAGCGTGTTCTTCCCGTGTCCTTGTTTATATCCTCGCGTATCCCGACTCAGCGCCTAGAGTCGACGAGATCTCTCCGCGCTGGTGAGAATTTCTGGCCGGGGGAATCCCGGGTTTCTCTCTTTCTCTTTTCTCGCGCGAGAAAATGGACAAGAGCGAGCGATGACGACGACGACGCGACTTTGGAGGACAAAAGTGCTGGATGGGACGTGGGGATACGGAGTCGACGCGGGTGTCATCGCGCAAGAACGACGGTTGAAACACGGCGAAGGGAACGCGTTCAGGCCCGCCTAATAATTCTCCGCGGGCGACGCGCGACGTGTACGTGTCAAGGCGTCGCGACGCGCGCGTCCATCTCGCCGCGGCTGCAACAACGAGAGAACGGCCGAGCGGTCGCTCGCGGCTTATCTCTTCCTCCACGGGGACAACGAGAAGATACTCTAAGGGGTCGAGGATCTTGGGGAATTTCACGCATCCGATTCCGGTGATTTCAATCGGGACGACGCGGCTTTCGCGCTCGTCGCCGACAAATTATGAGCGAACCTCGGCCCCAACGGCGTCTTACCTTCTTCTTCTCGGCCGACGTGACGCGGTTTCTCAGGCAATCGTGGCGATTCGCAGAGGAAATTACTTGTTGTTAAATCCCCTCATTGCTTGAACACTCGAGAGACGATAACTAATAATTTATCTCAAACCGCCGTTTATTTCTTTGTTACAGTTGGAAAATGTTGTGAGTGAGATCAAGGCAATTAAGTTCCTTAAGGTAATACTGAGAGCTGTCTGTGAAACCGTTTTACATAATTAATTAAGCAGGTCGTAAGGCTCAGTATCGTATTTTCAGCGGGACATCAAGAGAGCCACTCATAGATTTAGTATTTGTCAAGCTAAGTTACGTTCTTATACATTTATTTCATTATCTAAATAATAAATTGTTTTAAAACGAAGTTGAGCATATATCCATAATATTACAAATATGAAAATATCAGTTTTTTTTATTTTTTTTAATAATGGTATATTTATGCATCAATTGGTCTAATATAGAGATGCACAGATGGTAGAAGAGATATTTAAGCGTTTAAATATGTACATATGTATTTCGAGTATTACTACAAGTTATGAAATTTACGTCGCAGTATTTTTAAGGCAAAATGATCAATAATTCTGAAACTCGTATATAATGTCTGCATATTAGTCTTTAATATCATAATAGTTTTTCATTGAAATCTTATTTTTAACTTGGACTATATTAAAGATAGAAATTAAAAATAGTACGCTATTGCAACGTTAAAAAGCAGTCGAGAATCATCGATCTTAATGCAGACTGTGTGCACATTTTTATGCGTTTCAGTGAACTAAAGATAAAACCTGTTTCACACTTTTTATCTATTTTAAAATTTTATTCAGTCCTAGAGGACTGTTAAGAAAAAGAGGGAAGTTTAAGAAAAAAATCAGCAGCCCATAATGTGTTAATAGTCCGTTTATTATTTAGCTATTTATTCCTCGTTATAAATTTAAACATTACGTCATGTACGTGTCATAGATTGAAAAATTATAGCGTTCGTAACTATCAAAATATCATAGATTAAATATTATAGTGAACATGTGTCGCAATGTCATAAATTTGGGTCCACGGGAATCCGTCCATCATCAGCACAATAGCGCTCGAGGATGCTAACGCAACGACTCTATCTCCGTGTTCTTTGTCGAGGCACCTGTTCTCAGGAGATCGCGCATAAAATTCTGTGCACGTGACACTCCGTACATAAAACGCTATCTTTGCGCCGTAACGAGGTTATTCGTGTCTTCTATGAAAAATAGACGAACGCGACTCGGGACGATACGGCCCCTCCGGAGTAGAATTACAGATCCGACGCGGCTCGCCGTTCGGAAGCCCGCTGACGAAATTGTCCTCTGAGCGATGGCGGCGTTAAGTGTTCATTAATTGAACCGAATCGCGCTGCACGACGCCTTAGCGCACGGTCAGCTGTCGGCACTCTGTCCTCCGGCTTTTAACGCACTTTCGGCCGGTTCGCGCCGTAAAATTACCTTCTCTCTTCTTCTTACATTATTTACTTCTTCTACATTTTGCGAGCGAACTCGCTCTCGTAAACGAGGGAGTACAGCAAAACGAGCGAACTCGCTCCGTGCCGGCGGGATCGCGTTCGCTCGCTCTAATTTTCCAAGTTTCATCGCACCAGTCGATCTCATTTTGAACTATACGGCGAATCGTATTATCAGAGCTCATTTCTTGACCTCGCGATGTAACGAAGTCGCTCGTCTCTTTCCGATGCGTGACGAAAAGGGGTTGAGGAATAAAAGAGTCTGATTAAAGGATTTCGTTTGTTCTCGCATAATATATTCAATTTCCGTCGTTACATCCAATTACCCAATTTCCTATTAATACTCGGGTCCATTAATCTTTTCGAGAACGAGACTCGAGATGCGACGAGTATGACATCGTAACTAAAAGGTCCTAAAAATATTTTTACCGCGCTATAAAACTCCGTTCGCTCGTGTAATCTCGTTTCACCTCGTGATATTATATTCTCAAAAAAATTCAGGGTTAGGTTTGCGCATCGATCGAGTGCGCCTGGAAGAGAGGAAGCGAAATTAATCATGTTAATGACATCTCGCCGACTCAAGAAAAACGGCGATATCGACACACGAATATGATACTCATGTTATAATAAACGATATTCCGTGAAACATTAATTACAAAATTCGCATTAATTGCTTGAAACTTGAAGATCCATATTAATAGTCGTTATTTGAAATTTGCGTCAAGTGAGATACTCAGATTTGAATTTAGAGGCAGATGTGAGTTTTTCAGTTGAGTTATGATTACAAATATAATGTTTCAAATATTATACGATTGTAACGTGTGTGTTTCTAATCTAACTTCGTACTTATCAATTATTAATCGGGAAGTGGGATGATCCTTTGCTCGGCAGTCACTCTTTCCGAATCATCCGGAATCAACTGACATTGTACATCGGACATTGTCGGGGTTACTCGACACCCTTGTGTAACGAGATGCCAGCCGCCGCGTACAAGGAGAAGGATGCATAGAGGAGGAAGATGAAGGGAAGACCTGTGTTCTGGTTTATAAGAATCGCCGCTGAAACGTGTCCTTGAAAGTGGAAACCGTCGGAGCGCCGGCGCTCGGTCGTCGGCTGCCGTACATCACCGCTAACGCGTAATTTTTCTCGTTAACACGTTAACGGTGTGACACACGAAGTGTCGCGCGATCAACGATTTATGCGCATCGCTCCGGTCCCGCTGAACTTCCGTGAGATTTGACACTTTCACGTCGGTTGTTGAGGTTCCTTCGTTCCGTTCCGTCGACGATCTACGACGAATGTCTCGACGATCGGTTTTCCCTCTTTTTCCATCGTGAGTTTCTTTTCCGGTATTTTTCAGCATTTTTTCATTCATCATCCCGTACAAGACAAGGTCCAAAATTGGACTTCAACATTTTTTTAAGATTTGAGAATATATTTCTTCATCTTCACTCTTTTGTCGACTTATTGGCGCGCGTGCACTCGCGTCTCTTATAGGCCTTTAATTTATTTCTTAACCAAATACGTCTATAGTTTATTTCTTAACCAAATATGTCTATAGTTTTCTGACTCTTATTTAAAAAAAACACACACTATCGCATGAGAAAATTATAGCGCACACAGGATTATACCGCTGGATCGACTCCCCGGTAAAAATAAATCGATTGCCTCACCGTACGCTCGATGCGTCGCGGTGTGTCTCTTGATAAAAAAGCGCGTGCACATACGTCCTTTCGCTTCCGAGGTCTCTCGATCTGCGTAGACGTTTAGAAACCAATGAGCTTCTAATGAAGGTGGAGCTTGCCGCGGAAATCTCCACCTACTCTTAAAACGCTCTATTTCCCTCCGCACTCGTCGGCGAAGAGCGACGGCACAGACCGAGAGAAGATTGAGGAGAACGAGGGGACACATGAGAGAGAACGAGAGAGAGAGTAAGAGCGAGAGGCCGATGAGGACCTTTAAGTATGTCTTAACTCGGCCAAGTCAGTTGGCATCTCGCCGCCCCGAGCAAAATGACGCTTTCATTTTCGAGCGTTTCGTTTGCCACAGCGATCTCGCGACCGAGCATCACGATCGACGCGTCGTAACGACCAGGACGACGTCGTCCTCGTCGTGTCTTTAAATCGCCTGGGGGGGAAGAAAGAACTGTGAACTTGAGGGTTACGTCGTGCATGTGCGCTCATTACGCGAAACTCAACGGTGTGTATGTACGCGTACGTATTCTTCCTCTTTCTCTCTCTCTCCCTCTCTCGCGAGCAGGATCGGGAACGTCAGGGAGTCTGGAGAGGAAAGAAGAACTCTCGGCAAGTTGAGAATGTGAGCGGAAATGGACCCACTCGAGGTCTCAGGTACGTCGGGGGATCTAACGGCCCAAGTTGCAAGGGGGATGAATTAACGAATTCGAGAACTTGGCAATTGACCTTTGGGAAGCTGCTCGCGCTCCAATTGTGCGTAATAAGTGATCGGGGATAAAGCCGATTTTGCGGGAACTCGTTCACGAGAATCACTCGTAGTAACGTCGCGACATTTGACGGTTCAGAGATGCCTCGTGTTCTTCCCTCGATGACCGTTGATTTCACGCGATTAAGTAGCGAATTATTATCATTGCATCGGTTATATCGAACGGCTCTTTTTTAAACGCGTAGAGTCTCGGACGATAACTGGTCGATTCGCAGTTGATTACGCGTCGGGAAAGGGAATAAATGTGAAACACGTCCACTCACGACAGTATCTTCGTAATCGATGATCGCAAAGCTGAGGTAGCGATTCGTGACCGTCGTCGCACGATAAAATGTCAATTGACAAGTGGTGCTCCGCGGTTTGCGGGTTAATAAGCTTAATCGACACTCGATAAGAATCGCCTCAGCTAGGCTATTGGTGGCCCAACGTAAGATTCAAACATGCCACTGGATCTTCGCGAATCTATCGTTGCTCCAGGAAGTTCAATCTGTCGTGTTGCAATGTTCATTCTCGCCGGGGCGTATTTTCGCGACCGCGAACTCAAACCGCAAGTATTCGGAGCGAAACTGATGACTGACGCTCTCCTCCCCTCTCTTCCTCTCTGTTTTCCTCCTTCAAAAACTTTGAATTAAATAATATAATTAAAATAAAATATTCGTAAGGATCGCTTGCAAGAAATTAGCGATGTCAAAAAAAACTCGACGGACACGTTTGCACGTGTTAAATTCAAATCGTAACGCATGTGTTAATTTATCACGTCCGAACGTAACGAATTAACACGTACACTGTGACTTAAACAACAAAATAAAAACAAAGAGTCGCATAAAAAGAGTTTCACAGCCGGATTTATTTATTTATTTAACGGGAAACATCCTTTTGTGTAACAGACGAAGACGCGTCGTGGATCACACGAGTAATTATGCGAATAACAACAATAATGTACTCAGATTTGCGGTGCAATTTTTCGCCCGTCCAATTTTTCCCAATGCGGTTGACTTCTTGCGTGCGTTGTTTACAAATGTTTCATTTCGATCATATTATTTAATTTAGAATTGCCGAAGAAGAAAAAGAGAGAGAGAGAGAGAGAGAGCTGCAATTCTCAGTCTCGTTTTGCGAGTGACAGTAACACACTTAAATTTGCGATGCGTATTCTCGCGATAATCAGCGGAGGACGACGCGATTCTCTTCCCCGGCCGAGTGAACACTCACGGCGACGCGATCGCGACGATAACCGCAACGGACCGCGATCGATCGGCGTGCGTGCGATCGGACGATCCGCGAGCGCGCCCGCAAATTAATCGAAATCGGCACATTTCCCGGACGCGCGAGCACAGCCGCACCGTCGTCGGGGACGGGTTTTTCGACGGCGATACGGCCGAGATATGGACGAGTTTCGAACCGCGGGCTGCCGCGAGCAGCTTTGAGACCGCTGGCACGTGGCCCTAATTGCGCCGTCACGCTCGAGCTCGGAAACGCTTCAATTAACATTTCCCGAGACAAATTACGCATAAACGTGCTGCTACGGTTCCACGTACGCTCGCACGTCGCCGTAAATAATTGTCCTTTAACGACCGCGGGCTCGTNTTTTTTTACCCCCCCCCCCCCGGATCTTCTGATCAACGAAGATTTCGAGATTTGATGTCTTTTTTCTCCTTCTTCTGAAATATGAGAAAATTAGCCGGATTCCGTGGCGAAGAACGACGCGCGAGCACGCGTTTTACGAGCGTCCCGGTCCTCTCTCTGTCTCTCTCTCTCCTTCACGGTGTTTACATTGTAAATATAATATTTCGGTTGTGAGTACACGGTCGGAAATAGAGCGATACAAACACGTTCGTCGCGACGGTGCGTGCCTCTCTTTCTCTCTCTCTCTCGACTTAGCGGCGGCGCATTGCTCGCTTATTCGCGTTACTCGCCGACGCAGCGTCCGCGAATTGGCTTGCGAACTGCCTTCTCATATTTTGAGTTTCTACAATTCCGAGCCTCTCGCTAATATTAAGTTTCTGGCTGATATTCTGAGGTCCGAGCACCGAGTAATCACCGTCGCATGAAATTAAACCGCGACTTCGGCTACGCGCTCGTCCCTCCCGAACTGGCGCGTTCGCAGCGACGAACCGCTATTTTCTTTCTCTTTTGACACGTTCGCGGCCACTTTGATCACTGTTCGCTCTGATACAGCAAGCCGCGAGAAATCATGCCGGAATTGATGCGCGGAATTTCGCGAGAGAGAAGAAACGCGAGGGAGGAACGATTCGCGCGCGCATACGTGAAGCTGTTCCAACCTCAAGTCACCTTTCCTCGCAGGTGAGATTTAAAGCGGAGCATCGCCGCACGATCCGAGACGGGATGCCCGCGTTGCGAAAGCAGCCGGCGATATAAATACGCGGAGGAGAGGCGTTAAAAAATTAAAGAGCCCGCCTTCGCGCGACAGAGGGCGGAGGACTTGGCAATGAAATCGTATTGATTGTCATGTCGGCGTGAGGAAGAGGAAAAAGGCGCGCCGAGAGCGAGGAAAAATGTTAGGTGTGGACGCGGAGCAGCACGGCGCGAACAACAGCGTGATAGTGTCGCAGCTCGCGAATTCGCACGCGCCGCAGGACTTCACGGTCTCGCGCCTCTTGTCCACGCCGACGCACTCCTTGGGTAAGAGAAAACAATTGGAAACGTTATGTAAAGATACATATATATATATATATATGTTACGAAGATATCGGAAATATTATAAAGATATATATTAGATGCTAAATACTAAATTCGAATCTTTGTTTCCTTCTTTCCGACGGGATCGTTTGTGTGCACTGAGAAACTCATTTAGTTGATTCAAACAAAATTCTTGTTTGGACGAACAAATGCTTTGGTTGTGAGAACCAAAGTTTGGTTATCTGAAACAAAAATGAAAAAGGCTCAGAGGACTAAACTTTGATTCTCACAACCAAAACATTTGTTTGCCCATGTCCACACAGATTTTTGTTTAAGTCAATTAAATGAATTTCTCAGTGTTGATGAAAAATTAACAATTGATTAATTAATCCTAGAGTCAGTAAGGCGATTGTGACATATTGCAGCGTGCTAAATATTTGTATATATTTACATATGTATGTATGAAAACATTTTTTACATAAGTTCTCTCTATTTTCTTTTCTCTCCTGATATAGTACAATTAAAAAATATAATCTCTTCAAAAATTGTCTCCTTTAACATTAAATGTTTGATTTTTTACTTAATTTTGTATTTAATATAAATTAAACTTTTATATTTAATATAATTTAATATAATGATTTAATTAATATAAATTAAATCATTATATTATTAATAAAAAGTTATTATATTAAGTATAAATTAGATATTAAATAAATTTTTCACTTAGTATTTAATTTATGTTTAATATATTTGCACTTAACGAGAGAGAGAAAAAGAGAGAGGGTTTCAATGAAATTTCCGTGGCTCTGATCGATTCCTAAATTTTGCGACTTGCATCCCGCAAATGTTGCTCCCCAAATCGATATCCGCAGCGAACGATTTCATCGTGCCCTCGACGTTTAATCCGCGGCTCACGACGCACTTGATTTCATCGAAATCGCGCATTTCCAGTCATGCTGCTCGCATTATGCCGCTTTGATGAACGCTCAAGTATAGTGGAGTCATTCAAAGAATGACCGCGCTTGTATAGCCGAGACCCGCGCGCGCTCCTTTTTTCTCTCTTTTTCCTCTTTTTTTCGGTGCAGACCGTCGTATCGCGAGCGGCATCTTCGACGCTCGTTTCGGTACGGCGGATCGTCGAGAAATAATTTCGTATTCTTCTCGTGGTAGTGTTTTTGCGCGCGCAAGATGTAACTCCGGAGAGTGTGATCGACGTGCCTCCGTTCCGTAAAGTGAGGGGTCTTCTGATACCTCGCTAGTTAGGGGAATTGGTTTTACAGTTTCCCGTGAAATATAATTGTAAAAATCGAGAGGAGATTCGTAATATCGTTTGAAAAAAATGAATAAACCATGCAATTATACATGGAAAAAAATGCTGTTGAATCAATAAAATTTCCAACAGTAATTGGAGTAAATCTTCCTGATTCAATGGCGAATATCATTAAAACTATTATGTTATATGTTAGTTTCAATGATATCGCTATTGAACCAAGAAGATTTATTCCAATTACTGTTGGAAATTCTATTGATTCAACGGCACTTTTTTCCGTGCGTCTGACGTACATAATAATAACATAAATTACGTGATACGAGGGTAAACGACTTTTATATATTGTATTTTTCACATTTTTCGTTCTTTTTAATATATTTTACCAGAAATATTTACAAGATAACATTAAAAAATTTATATTTTGCGTATAATCTTAATTAATGGAAGGATTGATAACGATATGACCGCAAATGGCTACCTAGTGGTAATTGCTTATGGTATTTGATTTATTTGCAGATTGTAACGAGGCTACCTCCGCTGCTGGAAACAGAAGACCCAGGAGAAGCAGAACGACCTTCTCGGCGCAACAGTTGGCCGCGTTGGAGAGGGTATTCGAGAAGACGCATTATCCTGACGCCTTCGTTCGCGAGGAGCTTGCGACCAGGGTGTCCTTAACGGAGGCCAGAGTGCAGGTACGACGGAAAAATATCAAACATGAAATATCGCGATATTTCTGATTTTTTCAACCTTTCATCACGCAGGATTAAAAACATACGAAAGTCGTTATATGAGCTCATTAAACTATAGGTTCATTTATAACGACAATTGTCTGTGAGCGCGCGAAAGAACCTTTGAAACATCCTTTAGACCCGTGGGTTATTCGAAGGGGATGTCCATTGTTGGAAGAATCAAATCAGAATGGCGAGAAAAGGAATTTTCATTTGCATGCTGAGGGTTGCTACACATGAAGCAGTTGTTTAAATTAAAAAAAGAAACCATATAAACATTTGAAATGAGTAAACACTTAATAACGAGATTGTTACGTTATTCAGCAAGATATATATTAGTTACTTATTTTGCCAAATATATATTAGTTACTCATCGTCAAAATGCTCGTGTTATGCCATTATTTTCGGATATATTAAATACAGCGGTCTTTAGTGTGCGCTGTGTAGTGCGGTGACCGAATTCGCTGTTAAATGCGAGAATAAAAAAAAAGGAAATATTTGAATCCGCTCTGTGTACACCGAGCTATCGCCATCCTCGCCGACGCGGTATCTCGCGCGAGGATGGCAGAATGTGGCGGAACGATAAACCGTCTCGAGGGACACATGCGCGCACCACGAGCAGGCAAGCAAGCAACCAACCGATCAACCAGCGGAGCCACCGAGCCAGCGGAGCGCTCTTTGAAGCCGTCTTCCACTCGGCAGGCGAGAAGACCGGCCGTCCGAGAAAGTATCACGATGCGCACATGTGTCACGAGCGCGCGGCATCAGTGACACGAGAGAAAGAAGGACGAAGAGAGGCAGCGGCAGCCGAAGAAGCAGAAGGAGGAAGGGAGGCAGGCGGAAGGTGGAGGTCGCGGACAGCTAGGCAGAAAATCGGAGGAGACAGGTTGTCAGGGCGAAGAGCTATGATTAGCCGGCCAAGGCGCGCGCGCGTCTCCTCTTCGCATCTGCGGGGCTGCGGCCGCCGTCGCCGCCAACGTGCGTGCATCGAGCACGTGTGCGTGTCGCGTCGTCGTTGCTCGATCCGTGCACGTCTGTCTCTCCTTCTGTCTGTCTGTCTGTCTGTCTTTGCGGCGTCGGCTGCCAGGAGCCGTCACGCTGCTCCCGTCTTCGGCCGTGTGCGCCAGAGTCCTTCCGCCTCTCTTCCTCGCTCTTTCCACCCTCCGTGCGACATCTTCGCTTCTTCGACCGACCCTACCAGAAGGAGATACTACTACTTCGCGCTCTGCAACATTGGCAAGTTGGGAAATTTGAATGTTCTCAGCCCTTCCACCTGAATTCCGGGGAGGTGCACCCTACCATGTCTATCTTGGGTTCTCAGATAAAACATGATATTTTTTATTTTCAAATTCTACCGTCTTGGCAAATCTTGATGAATTCTTTCAGAAATCGTTAGAATTAAGGTGGGCACATGTGATATTTACACTGGAAATACTTAGAATACCGTGAATTACAGAGGAGAAGCGTCAAAACACTGACGTAGATACGGCAAACTGACATAGCCATGTTTCTCAGCTGTAAAGTACTGACACCTCACAATTTTCCCTACGAGAACTGTAATAATACGCACAAGAGTACATCCATACGAGGAAGAAACATAGCAGCGAATCACAGAGAGCCGATCACATGGCCTTATTGGGCTTATCTCTCTCCCAAGTGAGGCTCTTTAAGGGCTCGGTTCCAAAACTCTACTCGACGGGTAGGGCAGCATTTAAATGACCAATCGGAAGAAAAAGACTTCGTTATCATGATTGGTTAATGAAATGCTACCCGTCGAATAAAGTTTTGGAACGTAGCCCGGGAGGAAAGTTGATATTGGACGGGGTCAGCGGCGGATTAGCGTCAGGTCCGTAGATTTTTCGTCGGAATAACGCATCTCTCTGCTTGGAGAGCGTGTCGTTTGAGTCCGATTTATTTGTCTTGCTTTAAAGCCAGCTTCGCTAAAGTGACGTGAGACGAAGAACACTGAGGAATCAGGATACACCGGGTATCCAAAGATTCCTCATTGGAGAGAGATGTTTCTAGAAGAAGGCGGGTGCGCGATTCACTTTTCTCGAGAAAGCCGCCGGCAGAAAGCCGCGCGCTCTCTTTATCGGGCCGATTTAATTACACGGAACCGAGGAGGCATCTTCCCTTTGAGTCGGATTTATTTACCTTGCTCCGGGTTTCGACTTGTAGTTCGTATTAATCGGAGATATCGGCATGCTCCTTTCAGAGACCCGGATAGCTCCACCCACGATTACGGCGAAGATGATGTAATAAAATGTATATATAATACGTTGTGATGAACCGAAAGCATAACTCCAAGTAGTTCGGTAGATACGCAAGAGACGAAATCGTCCACGTTGATACGACTGCTCTTAAATATTCAAATCTAAATCTACCTGAGCTCAAGACGAGACGAGTTCTTCCCGATCATGACACCTTGACGGTACTATTTGCTGAGAAATGGTCGCCTGTCACCAACAGATCTCAAGAAAAATGATTTATAACAAAACGGCTCGGACCCTAATTAAGGAGATCCTTCTCGTGTCTAACTGTTCAATCTTGATATTACAATTACAATCGCTAGAAATTTAGAAAGGCTTATGAGAGCCGAACATGGTTGTTGGTACAAATCAATTTTACATATGAAAGGATAAAGGTGTATTTGACAATGTAACGCACGTGTTGACTAATTTTCGTCAGACTTTCAAACGCACGCAGGGGATGTACCTTCCACGTCAAGCCGACCCTGCATTCCAATTGTTAACATTAACAAAACCCCCGAAATACTCCAACTACCAATGAAATAATTAGCGATCGATTCCCCCAAATATCGCGAAAAACGGTGTCTCAGCCAAGGGTGTCGGTAGCGAGATAAATCTACGCTTGCCCGGTCTAACGAGAGCGGCGCGACTGACCACGTGACACCTGCTCACAGGTGTGGTTCCAGAACAGGCGGGCGAAGTTCCGGCGGAACGAGAGGAGTTCGGCCCTGAGTCGCGGCGTCTCCGCCGGCAGAGAGATGGAGACCGCGTTGCCGTTGCGGCCCATCAGGCTGTCGCAGCACGCGGAAGCGAGCGCGCCGGAGCAGACGTCTCAGCAGCCACCTTCGCAGCCTCCACCGCCGCCGTCGGCGCCGGGGACGACCGCCGGCCTGACGTCGCAGTACCCTTACGGCGACTACTGGCGAGCGGCGGCGGCGGCGACGACGCAGCACTACGCGGTGCAGAGCGCGACCACCGGCTGCCACGGCTTCGCCAACGGCGGCCTGGCGAACGTGAGTCTGCCGCCACCGTACCACCATCATCATCATCATCAGGCTGATCACCACATCCACGGCTCGCCGCTCGACGGACCCACCGTGAACGGCCTGAACGCCCTGAGACTACGCGCCCACCCTTACGGCGCGACCTACCCGCCGATGCACGCGAGCATGTGATGCCCCGTTGCTCAGGTCGAGGATCCTCGCCCGGGAGAAGAGAACTCGGTTCCCGCGGCTAAACGGCGACCGGACGAAAGCTCGGCGACGAGGAATGACATCTTCCTCACCGCGATCGAGAACATTCGTGTGAACGTTCAGCATCGATCGTTTCAGTCATCGCGGAAATCCGGCCGCTTAAGGACTCGTTCGGAGTCACTCAATTATTCCGCAGATTTCTATTGTGTTTTTCTAGGTAATAACTGAACGATTCCAATCGTTTCCGAACGAAGTCCCAGTGCAATGCCGCTAGTTCAGCTAGAGTGAACAGGCCTGTGGAACGCGAGCAGTGCGACACTCGAATAGTTGACTCGGTCGGGACAGTTGAGAATGACTGGACCGAGTAGGAACCTCCTGCAGGAGTCTCTGTTCCTACGACCGAGCTTTCGTCCGGTCGCCAGGCAACGGGAAATTCAGTCGCCACCAACGGAGTTGTTTTCTCCGCGCGACGCGATCGAGAACGTTGAGACCGTCGTGGAAATCCGAGGCTCGGCGGGAGCCACGTTGCTCCGAACGAGTTTTGGCCCGCGCATTGTCCTGCTGAGGTATTTTATGAACGTTTTTTTTTTCGCCCATCGAAACCAAAGAGAAGTTTGTGCGGTTGCGAATTCGCGCGTGGATCCCGCCGAGGATCCGAGTCGATCGACAATGGCGGGACACGCAGGGTGCGCGATCGAACAACGGACTGTCGCTGTTGTTGTGAACGTGAAACACAAACGGCCAAACGTCGATCGTACGTGCCTTAATGGGTGAGCATTATTATTAGGTTGAAATTGTAAGTTCTGAACGCACACAGGGTAACGAATAAGTAATTCGTAGCGCTTTCCTCCTCGCCAATCCGACAGGGCGGCGGCGCCTTGAGTCACGAGAGAAAGTATATATCCGAACATCGTTATTAATTAAGTTAACGCAGTTAATACAGAGAAAACGTTATTCTACGAAGTTGCGGCCTTACACACATACAAACAGGTATACATGTAGTATGTATAGATTATAGACGGTAATAGATGAAAAGATAGTACCGTGCAATATATATATTATAAAAACACCGAAGTGTCGGAAAACGTTCACGAGGATGTCTTCTCATCTCTCTCGCGATATATGTAATAAGAAAAGTACAACGTACAGATATACGTAACAAATACTTGTATATAGATATATGTACACATATCGAAATATTGGCACAGGATTAGAATATAGTCAGCTTGCGTACACATTGGTCGCAATCGCCTCTCTCTCTCTCTCTCTCTCTCTCTCTCTCTCTCTCTCTCTCTCTCGCAAATTTTGAGACGTTCTCAATCCTCAGCGGGTACTATGAGGTATCTCGAATATTACGCAGTGCACGTATTGCTTAAATTATTGTTAAAATTTAAAAAAGCCTTACATACAAGATATGATATGATAAAATATCCCTCATAAGTACTTGAATTTTTATCGATCTCTTCTCCAAATAGCAGGATGACGTCTGAAGACGTCTTAACGACGTATCTTAAAGACATATTATGGACGTTAGAGATGTCATTGAGACGTTATTAATACGTCATCTGATGTCATCCTGCTACCTGGGTCTTTTCTTCGCGAAGAAGACCATACAGACTTCATGGTGCGAGTTGCGGTAAGAGTTAAGGTTTATGATGTCCGTTGAGGTTTGAGCATGCATCATCTCAGATCATATAATCTTAAATCGTAACATTAAATACAATACGGTGGACGTGCCAAAGCGACAGAACCGTTCCGAAGAATGCAGCGGAAAGACGCGTGCGAGATGTCTGAGAGCTTCATTGGGCGTCTATCGGGTATCGGTTAAAGAACGTCTTCACGATGTCTCTCTCGGCGGTTCGTGTCGTCTTGGTTGGGATATTCAGGGCCCTGAAATTATGGCACAACTTCAACATCGCGTATAATAAAAGTCAACGTCTCCGTTTTCCATCCATCCATCACTTGAACGCACACATGTGAATCATTACATTCTCCCTCACTATACTGTTACTTGCACGTTCTGCACGACGTTGCTCCAATCGACCTTGGAGGGCACCAGGTAGAAGGCTGGCGCGATCTTGCTGCCGCAGGGGCACTGGCTGCCGGCGATCCAGCTGTAGGAGCCGAGCTTCGTGTTGCACTTGGGACAGTTGAGCTTGCCCTCCACCGCGTGGGTGATGTCGGGCATCCAGGCGAGCGGCTCGACGAAGTAGATCTTGTCGCAGAGTTCGACGCGCGGTTCCTCCCTCTTCTGAAGCAGCTTGTCGCACCCCTCGGCGGCGTCCTTCGCCCCGCTGCTGCTGATGTGCCGCCAGATCTGCTTCTCGCGCGGTGCGTGCGGCAGGATGTTGCTGGCGCTGGCGACGATGCGACGGCATTTCTTGCAACGGTAGACCGTCGGCTCGGGGCGCACCGTCGTAAGCGCCGGGTCCGGCTTCACCAGGTCGATGCAGCTCTGCGGTAAGATACGCGCCTTGCGCACCTTGTCGGCCGCGATCTGCAGCCGGTACATCTTGAACTGCACGTTGCTGTTGTCGACGCCGAAGCCCATGTCCTCGTAGAGGCGCAGCTGCGCCACGAAGCCGGGATTCGGTGCGACGAAGCGCCGCTTCGCCTTCACCGCGTGGAACGCGTCCGCGAAGCTGCTCTCCCGCTTCTTCATCGCGTAAGCAATCACAACGGTGGCGGACCTCGACATGCCGAAGTAACAATGCACCAACACCCGGCCGTTCGACTCCAGGGCGCGGTCGATGAACTCGTACGAGTCCTCGAAGTGTGTGAGCAGGTCCTCGCGCGGCATGTCTGTCACCTGGATGTACTTGGTGATCAAGTTAGGCAGGTGATCCTGGATCTTTCTTGGCAATGGACATGAGTCCACTGTTAGTATGTGAGTTATCGCGACCTCCTTCAGCCAATCAATGTCTGCGGCAGCTGTGAGATTGCCCAAAAAGAGGCCAGGCTCGATTTCATCGAAGCTGCAAGGACCAGCGTCAAAGTCCTCCCTCGTCAGCTTATCCGTGTCGTTCTGCGCCGTCATGTTTGATATCCTGCAAGCACAAACAACGCTACGACAGGTATCTCTAAATTCCAGGTTTTAGGAAACTATGTTGGATGTTAATTTATTCACCATGTATATATAAAATAGTTCAAGTTACTCGTTAGATATTTGGTTTGATTGAGAAGGAAGCTGTGTGAGGTTTTAAATATAACTGTCTGAAAGTTTGCTGCGTGTTTAGTTCTAATTATAGCTTCCTGTAATCCTTATTCCATGAATGTATTGTGTAATAACGGACAAGCTTAAAGTATACTTTTAAATATCATTTTTATTATTGTGTTTATCATGTTTATTATGTTATTTGGAAGTTCTACTTCTGATAATGATCATCGATATAGCACATCCCTAGCATGTATAGTTGAGAATCGCTATTGATTTTGTCTTAACTGGGAAAATGTTTCAAACAGTTGATTTCTTCAATAGATACATAATGCAAAGATATTTTCAATGTATACATAATATAGCTGCGCTTAATGTGTGTTAAGTGTGTAGAATGAATAAAGTATACAGCAATTAGTTGTTGCTGAATGATGCAATGAACAATCAGGCACAAATCAATGGTTGTAAAATATAAAACAAACTTGCCTGGACAAAGAAAGGATTATCCTTGCTGACAAAAACCTACAGTACGATATTAATGGCCATCAAATCTACTTTGGAATCATGCCTTGTAGAGGGACATTAAGCCGTTCATTTAACTCACTTGCTGCGTGGAATTTAATTTAAAATATCTCTAGCAGTAACACCTGTACTACGAATTGTCACTATGACAATCGTCGAGGAAGGTAGGCTCCACTTAAATTTAAAGTTATCGCGAATAATTTTGTTATATTCTGTGATAACGGGCGATATGTGCATTCCAACATGTGTCACAACGCACTCTATGCTCTCTCTCTCTCTCTCACTCACTCTCAATATGGTTTCAAAATTCCCTATGGAAATGCGATATTCGATATATCAATCGATCTTCGTATCTCCTTTTTTGGAAAATCGATTATCTTCTCGATATTTTTAAGTCGATTATCGACCGGCACAAACCAAAAGTTTGAATATATCGAAGTGTCACTGTAGCGCCATTTGCCGTCACTTCCGCTTCGCGCCCAAGGCGGAAGCAGAGTCTCGTGCCGAGAGCTATCTTCTCCGCGCAGGCCGCGGTGCTCCCCGCCGTGCGCGGGATCTCGTCCTCGGGTGCCGCGCGCGGCGTCACAGCTGAGGCGAGGCGAAAAAGAAGCGTTCGCTTCGCCGTCTGAGTTGCGAGCGTGAGTCAGCAGAGAGCAGTTGAGAGCAAGCAGTAGCGAGAGTTAGTAGCGAGAGTTATGAGCGAGAAGCGGTAGAGAGTAGAGTTGTAAGCGGTGGAGAGCGTAGAGACTGTAATAGAGTTGGCGAGAAGTCTGTAGGAGAGAAGAGCGCGGAATAAAGACGTTGGAAGAGGAAAAAGCGAGTCAAGTCATTCTGACCCCGTCTGCACCTTCGTTGCTCCCGTTCGGCGTTTGTGGGGAGGCCAAGAAGCGGAGCAAACCAAACTGGTCGCCCCCACAAGCTGGTGACCCCGACGTGATCACCTCAATTGGTGACTCCGTTACGAGAATTTCGCGGAGCAAGCCGCGGAAAGCCGAGCAAGCAACGTCAGCCATTTTCTTTTTCTCTTCTCGAACGTTCCAAACGGCAAGACTACGTCGCAGAGACGTGGCTTCGCGCCTCCGCGTCGAGGCAGACCCTCGCCGCCGCCTACGTTAAGAGATCGCGTATTACGCGATCGCCAAAGTCGAGGTCGAGCCGGAGGCCGTCCGCCGGCCAACTCTGCCGTCGCCACACGCGTCGCACGTGCTCGCGCCTGCGCCGCCATTCCGCCGCCGTCGCAGCCGCCATTTTGCGTAGCGTCCGAACAGGAGCACTCCGCTCGCGCGCGCGATACCGCTGCCCTGCCAGAGCGGCATTCGGGCAGCCCGCCACTTTTAGGATTCGCCGCCCAGCCTCGTCCTTCGGACCCGGAGGCGCTCATCGCCAGGTTTGCACTCCTGCCATTCTCTGAGAATCGCCCGGAAGCCGCGGATACACCGGTCTGTCCGGGAGCCGCAATCGAGCCACGCGACCTATTCAGGACCAGTCTCTTCGCCGCAGCCAACGACTCCTCAACAGCGAGCACAATCGCTTCCACCAACGCGGAAGACACCGAAGCCCCTGCCGAGATAGGCATCCGGCCAACGAGCCGCAAGAAAACCATGTCTCATTCGCAGGAACAGCTACCTACCCTATGGAGGAAGCACCCGGTGGCCTGGTTCACCCAAGCAGACATCTTTTTTGCTGTGAACGAGATAACCGCAGACCAAGACAAATACTCCAGACTGGTAAAAGCTCTAGACCCGGCGACAGTTGACGACCTCGCCGATGCGCTTGCTGATCCTCCTAACGACAACAGGTATGCGCATCTCAAAAAGCAAATTATAGCTAGATTAACAGATTCTAAGGAACAGCTACAGAAGCTGTTCTCGGGTTTGTCGCTGGGCAACAAAAAACCATCCCAGCTGTGGAGAGAAATGAAAACTCTCGCTGGCTCCAGTCTCACCGAGGATAGCCTCAGAGTCAAATGGCTTTCCTTCGCATCTTCAAGAGATCCAGCCTGGACGAGATACTGGAAGCCGCGGACGAGCTCATGTGCAACCCACCACAGGTTCTGGCCATTCAGAAACCTCCCTCGAGTTTTCCAGAGTCAGTCGCTGCAGTGCAGCTGAATCAATTAACGCAAGAAGTCGCTTCACTTAGACTCACCGTAGAGCGTCTCTCGGTTTCTAACAAACAGCTACTAGAACTAGTTCAACGCAATCATAGTTCCGATTCCAGAAGCGGACGCACCAGATCGCCTTCTCGCAACCGTATACGCCCAGTATCCACAGGACCACAGGACTGGTGCCATTTCCACCGCAAGTTCGGAACCAGCGCCTACGTTTGCAGAGCACCATGCAGCTTTGCGCAAAACCAGCTGAGTAAGCAGGGAAACTGTTAGCACCTCCGCAGCAGGCGTCGGAGGTGACGGACACAGCTCTAGAAATTCGCCTGCTTATCCGTGATGGTAATCTTAAGATAGACTTTCTGGTAGACTGCGGGTCGACAACGTCAATCCTGCCATACCATCCAAGAATAGCTAGCGAGCCGAGCGGGACGCAGATGCTGTATGCAGCCAACCGATCGCCAATTCCAACTTATGGGACTCGCCAGCTGAAACTCAACCTCGGTCTTCGGAGAGACTTTGTCTGGGAGTTTGTAATAGCTGATGTTTCACACGCTCTCTTAGGTGCAGACTTCCTGAAAGAATACGGTCTCCTTCCAGACATTAAGCACCAGAAGTTGATCGACCCCCTTACAGGTCTTGAAACGAGGGGCATTCTCCGAGAGACAACTCTCTACTCCGTCTCGACCATCGAAGACCTAGGTCCACGAGATGCTCAGGTGGCAGAGAAATATGCAGCACTTCTGCAGGAGTTCGCAGAAATTTCGAACTGCAATACAGTTCCAGCGGTCAACTCCAACCTGCCAGTACAACATCGGATCCTAACCAAAGGCCCTCCAAGTTTCGAGCGCCCTAGACGTCTCCTTGGGGAGAAGCTCACAGGAGCCAGAGCTGCCTTTCAGAGCCTGCTTAATCGGGGCATTGTAAGACCCTCCGACAGCCAGTGGGCCAGCCCTCTCCACCTCGTGCCAAAAGCAGAGGTCTGGAGGGTAACCGGAGATTACAGAAGGCTCAACAGCAGCACCATTCCGGACCGGTACCCACTGCCAGTAATAGAAGACCTCCTTCAGGAGAGCCAAGGACGGGTTTTCTCGGTCATAGACCTCCACAAGGCTTTTTGCCAGATCCCCATAACTCCTAAGGATGTGAAAAAGACCGCCGTTACCACGTCTTTTGGTCTTTTCGAATTTTTAGGCACACCTCTAGGCCTCCGTAACGCAGCCCAGACGATGCAGCGCACAATGGACCAGCTCTTCCGAAAGCTGCCTTTCGCCAAGGTCTACATAGATGACATCCTAATTGCCTCAAAGAGCCATGAGGAACATCTGGAGCATCTGAGGCGAACCTTCCTCATCCTACGCCAAGCAGGTTTTAAAGTCAACCTGGCCAAATGTGCGCTTGGAAAATCCCAGGTCACCTACCTGGGGTACCAACTTTCAGCGGAAGGATTCCAGCCTCCGCAGGACAAAATTAGGGCAATATTGGCATTTCCTAAGCCTTCTACAGCGTCTGAGCTAAGACGGTTCCTGGGAATAATCAATTATTATCGTAGATGCGTTCACCGGGCAGCACAGGCACAGGCCCCCCTGCACGACCTCCTCAAAGGACTTGCAAAAAAAGCCAAGCTTATCTGGACCCCTCCGGCAACCCAGGCTTTTGAGCGGTGCAAGGAGGATATTGCAGAGGCCGTCTGCACTACCTTTTTCAGGCCCGACGCTCCGATTGCTCTTCGCACAGACGCGTCAACTACGGCGATTGGTGCCAGCCTGGAGCAGCAGCAGCCGAATGGATCTTGGCGCCCTCTAGGATTTTTCTCTCGCAAGCTCGACTCAACCCAGTCGAAATACAGCACCTACGATAGGGAGCTCTTGGCTGTCCACGACGCTATTAAACATTTTGAAAGAATCCTGGAGGGACACCCGTTCACCATTTACACGGACCATCGGCCTCTGACCTTCGCCGCAATCCAGCCGGCAGCGAAGGCCTCGCCCAGGCAAGCTAGACAATTAGGTTTATATTACGTTTTAACTCCCAGCTGGTCTACACCAAGGGAGAAAACAATATCGTCGCAGACGCTTTGTCGCGGCCGTCCGATCCGCCAACGCAGGAGACAAGAACAAGAGGTTCCAGCCTCACCACTCGGCCGCGAGCCAGCATCGCCACAATCTCGATGCCGTCCGCGCTCAGCCTGGCGGCCCAACTTGCAGAGCAACCCGCCACTCCGCCACAACTTGCGGAGCAGCCCGCCTTATCTCCACCTATTAGAGCCAAATCAGTATCGTTTCCGGCCATGCCGGTCACTGGGGGGGGGAGTGGTTGTAGCGCCATTTGCCGTCACTTCCGCTTCGCGCCCAAGGTGGAAGCAGAGTCTCGTGCCGAGAGCTATCTTCTCCGCGCAGGCCGCGGTGCTCCCCGCCGTGCGCGGGATCTCGTCCTTGGGTGCCGCGCGCGGCGCTACAGCTGAGGCGAGGCGAAAAAGAAGCGTTCGCTTCGCCGTCTGAGTTGCGAGCGTGAGTCAGCAGAGAGCAGTTGAGAGCAAGCAGTAGCGAGAGTTAGTAGCGAGAGTTAATAGCGAGAGACTGAGAGCAGAGAGAAGCATGAGAGAGTTGAGCGAGAAGCGGTAGAGAGTAGAGTTGTAAGCGGTGGAGAGCGTAGAGACTGTAATAGAGTTGGCGAGAAGTCTGTAGGAGAGAAGAGCGCGGAATAAAGACGTTGGAAGAGGAAAAAGCGAGTCAAGCCATTCTGACCCCGCCTGCACCTTCGTTGCTCCCGTTCGGCGTTTGTGGGGAGGCCAAGAAGCGGAGCAAACCAAACTGGTCGCCCCCACATCACTACACTTTCCGTTATGTGTACACTCAATATTATATTAACTCGGAAAAATCTATATTTACTCGTCAAACAATTTTGAAGTTTTTCCTATGTACTTAACCCTGTAAAGTCGGATTTTGCAATTCAGACCCTGAACATTTATAATAAATAAAGATACAGATTTGTGCTGCACTCTAAGTCGTACACTCGCGGTACTTGGAGTGCAGTATGAAAAAGTCAGAAAAATGATTTCAAACTTTGTGATTCGTACAACTTGAAAATACAAAATTTAACTGCATTATCCTTAAATTGTATTACGGCCTTGATTTTTCACGATAGATAGTGGTGTCTCGTAACGAAATCATCGAAATTAAATTAAAATCAAATTATCGGGTTTAATGTAGAAGCGGCGTGCGACGTAGGTATTCAATAAGGAAATATATTTTTTGGAAACGAAAGTTTCCACTGCCAGCTATAATCCTTAAAAAATCAATTCTCCTATTCGATATAAGATTGTTTCGTGTCGGATTTATAGGATGCGCAGTGTGAATACCGCATAAATATAATAACGGGTCTTCTCGTAAAGTGCGATTAATACTCGGCAAGAGAGACTATTGGTCTGTTCTTTATAATTGAACTGGCTACCCTAGTTCAAGAAATTTATATGCGCATTGAAAGGTATGGAGCGTACGTACAAAATTCTTACGCCGTACATGCGACGTAACTTGCGTCACTCAATCAAATCCGCCGTGGATAATTGAAACGATTTGATTGGTTGACGCAAGTTTACGCAACGCGACGTACACTTTACCACTTTCTATATCGAATCCTATGCGAAGCATTAAAATAGTATTGTGTATCATCGAGATTTATTGATAAAATATACAACTCTATATTTTTTTATTAAAAATATTTTCTCTTTGTAAATTTTCTCAGCACCCGTATAATTGCGCAGACTCGGTATACTCTTCACCACATTAAAGCTTGCGTTGCTTCAGCTTAATTAAACACTTTCCATCATATTGTTTTAGTTTAACCGATTGTTCCGCAGGATAATGTTTTCATTGCGATACTATTAGCCAGCACATTCTACGTCAATTTTGCGTGGAATAAAGAACGGTGAAGTAACTTAACGTAGCACTCAACAACTGCAACAGAACATCTGTCTAAAATATATCTCGTTCAGCCTTATTACGCGATTATGGTTACGTGATATATTTCTCATGTTTCTTTACCGAAGCGACGCCTTCCATAGATGCCACGAAGAACACACCGAGATGCACAGTATAAGCTCTCATACTCCTCTGCAACAGGAACAGTATCATTTTCTGTATGTGTACAGGAGCTAAGTACCATTTAACGTTATATCTACAAAGAGACAACGATATAATATAAATGATCAATTTTAATCGTAAATATCGTGGCGATCCTACATATCGCGCATATATTTATCGAATTCTTCAAGTTTCTTAGAGTGAAATCTCCTAACTCAAAACGAGTGAAAATTCATACGTAGCAATGATAAAACTACTGCCACTCGAAATTATAAGAATAAGTATTTGTCTGACAACTAATGTGAATTATTAATTAATAAGAAAGAATGTTTTATCAAATGATTTTGAGTTTCGATTAGATTTCCAATTTATTACTATAATGATGGTATATCAGGTAAATTTTTGTTCAGTCGCGAATGAAATTTTTCTTAGCGCGCGATTTAGAGTGGAAGAATTTTGTCTATATAAATGAAAAATCTTTAATTATGAGCGATTCAGTTGTTAATCCGAAATCCGTACCTTCGAAATTTCTTGGAGTGGAATCTCACTCAATATAAATGAAAAGTGACAGTATTTCCATTCGAGGCGAAATACTGTCATTTGAAATCACAAGAATCAACGTTTCACTCAAACTTAGAATAGATTCTGACTTCATATGAGTGAATATTTTTCTGTGACGCTGTGACCGATTCACTCTTTTATTTTTAGTGAAAATATACACTCAACTATTCAGGGTAGAAAATTCACTCTATATAAGTAAAAAGTCGGAAAAGTTGAATTCAAGTGATATGGCAGTTACTCTATTTTTCGATTGAGATCTCACTCAAAAAATTAAGAGAACAATTATGTATACAAAGGGAACGTATTTCTTACACAGTGACGAACACGTAATTATCATGATCTGTAATTTCCTGCCCGATGTAATTGCTTATAAACAGGTACAACATATAAAGAATTAGAAAGAGACAGGGCAAAATTATTTGTTCGTTCTCACGTTTGGATGACGCCGTTTGATAAACCTAAAATAGACAGCTTCGTAATTTTCGCTTATCTTTTGTTAAATTATTTTCCAAATGAACGTATTTGTCGCTTGGGTGTTATTTCGCATTGCGCCACACTAAAGCGTTTTGTTAATTAACACGTTGACTGCCATGCTGATTCTCATTGCTTATTTCTCAACGCCCAAGTAAGATTTGAATTATCAAAAATGAGAAAAAATAAAAAGCATTTCACGATGTTTATATATAATACGATCTATATATAATAGTTGATTTGTTTCATTGGCTATATACTTAATTTGTAGTGTGCAATTGGCTATGTTTTATACATAAATTAGTGAGGCATGACAAAATTATAGCGTTTGTCACATTGGTAATCCATTTGGCTGTGAACATGTTAAGGACGTGTTTGTGTTTAAAAGTGATTATCGCTAACTCACTCGGAAGATATTCAGACTCAGACAAATCACACAGTCGATTATCATGAGAGAAAACATTATCTTAAATCTGGAAATTGACGACTCGGAGAACCTTCAGAATGAAGACAGTATTACTTTGAGCGTATCATACGCGTACTGACAACCCTGCACGAACCTTAAAGCTGTACGATGCATATCAATGCCATTAACCAATTCCTTGGCAATCAAATTGCTCTGTTTTAGAGGATCTTTTACTGGGAAACTGATTTTCATAGCCCGATCGATGCGGTAGCTGCAATTAATTTCTTGGTTCCGATCACATTGTCCCCCGTGAATTGGCTTGAAAAGAATAATGAAAAACAGACGACAACGAAATTTAAAGCGAACGCACGAAAATTAAATTAAATTAAATATATTAAACTAAAGATTAAACTCAAGATTAAAATTAGAAACTGGATAAAGTGAAGCAAATTACATTCATAGTCCAATATTTTTAGGTGAGACGTCTTTTCAGTCTTTATTTCCTCACCTGGCGATTTTAAACATGCCGCAGGCATGTTGAAGATATCCAATGATTGTTGTGCCGCTCCCTATCATTACAATCATTCCCACACACATAGCTGCGCTGACATGTAGCAAGATCAAATAGAAATATCTATCTATATCATCAGGATCAATAAAGTATTCAGTCTCGAAATGCCACTTATATAATGAATATTCACTTCGGCATAATAGGGTATTGAAGATATGAGATGATGACGACATTATAATTGAGCCGACGAAGAATGTACCAACTACTAAGGAATACTTTAAAAATCAATACAAGTGATAAGCAAATATCTACCTATATTGGCATGCACACGTACTCGTTATTTGGCTTTAAATAGATCGTATAGTTCATTGTACATACGTATGATGAACTACTGAAGATAAAATTGTGTTTATTACTTACTTGTCAATTTAAATGTATAATTTTTCGTGTTGAGTCCATACCGTTTCAAAATAGCAATTTCATTCTCATCTCTCAGTTCATCGTAGATGCACTGTAGTTGCTCCATTAAGCATTTTATCTTTAACATGTCAACAATCTAGTCTACGTTCTACGCTGTTTCGCGTTGTGAGATTCGGAAAAAATTGTCGTATACGAGGGAAGTTGCAAGGATAAAATACACTTTTTAAAAAATAACAAAAATATGCTATTTATTTAATTAAAAAATAGTATATGTGAAAATGTGAGTGAAAAAAGGGACTTTCTTTTTATTTCTTAACACAATGCCCGGGTAGGATAGAAGAGGATGCAATTCGGGTAATTCGTGAAGCAACATGATCGCACGAAACATTATTTTTGGAACTTCTCTCGTATAAAAGTTTAAATATCAGATATATTTTTATGGCAATAAAGGTGTACGATAAAAATTGGACATACTGTTCCAATGTTAATCCAAAGCGCACTGTACAGAATCACGAATATCATATAGAAAGACACGGAAGAGATAACGTCGATGACAAACTCACTACTGCGTTTTGCGGTCATAAATGTTGTAAGCTGTGTGCAATAAATTTAATGCAGCAACATTATTACTAGGTATTTATTCCTTCAATGTCGATTGTCAGATAATAAGTCTAACAGAAACAGCTGCTTTCTTACGATGCCGTAGTTCCACGTAAGAACTCATATTTCATAATAGCGCGAATTTCCGACTGTTCCATTTTCAACAAAATTAATTTTTAAGAAAAGATTTTAATATTTTTTAGAGCTTACAATGATTTCTTTAAACAGGCGAGATATGTAACTTTCCAACAAAAAAAAACAGAACGGTAATATATTAAGCCAATGTCAAATAATAAGCTCTCAGAGTTGGCAATATTATTATCTACAAATTTCATCCTTGCCAACCTAATATATATCTCATTGCATCAATATGTGTAATAGACTTGCATTATATTAGGTTGGTGCGTATGAAATGTCGCATTCTCTTTACATGCGGACGTTTTCCTCCCTGTTTTCGTTATACTTTTGTATTTGGCATAACCTCATTCATACTCGTATTGTCCATTGCCAGAGACTCATTTCAACAAAATAGGTTTTCTCGAAGGTCTTCCCTTTTTTATTTCTTTTGAGTTTATTACCGATATGAATTCTGCCGACATTCGCGTCATTTTCTTATATGAGTACAAACTTGGTAATAGTGCTGCAAAAGCTGCACGCAACATAAACCAAGCGTTTGGGGAGAATACGGTTAACAATCGGAAAGTGCAGCGTTGGTTCGAAAAATTTCGGACTGGCGATTTTTCACTGCAAAATGAGCCGCGCGGAAGACCCAAAACGTCTGTGAATAATGATGACCTGAAGGCTCTAGTGGAAGCGGATCCAGCCGTATCCACGAGGGAACTTGCTATCAGGATGAAAGTTGACCATACAACGATATTGAGACACCAAATTGTACTCCCATCGCTTGTGAATCGGCATGGCCCGCTACTGCTCCATGACAACGCTCGGCCGCACACATCGCACAAAACAATTGCGAAACTGAACGAACTGGAATATGAAGTTTTGCAGCATCCACCATATTCACCGGATCTCTCGCCGACCGATTTTCATTTTTTCAAGCATTTAGAGCTGTTTTTAAGAGGCAAACACCATGAAAATGAAGACAGTCTAAAAAACTCGATATCAGAGTTTATTAATTCTAAAGACCAAAATTTTTTTAAGACAGGCATCTACGCTTTAAAATCTCGTTGGGAGAAGTGTATTGAAGCGAATGGAGCATACTTTGATTGAATAAACAGCTTTTGAAGAAAGATATACAGTTTTATACAATCACTTAAGAATCCGACATTTCATATGCACCAACCTAATACTTAATAGATATCACTATGTGATAAAGAAAATTGTTATTTTTCATAAATGCACAGATTTTTTAATTGAATATGATTAAGCAAAAATATCATATTGATATATTTGATGATCACGTGAATAATCATTCTTCGTCAATTTATATTATCATGATATATGTACATAATCACATCTAAGCGGTATGTGTGGCAATAAACAGTTATAAGAAACAAGCTTTCATTTATCGCACAATGATATAATTACAAATATTAAAATACCTGGAATACGACGAAACTGATCAAAATACCATAAAGTAAGATCGTCTGAATTCGCACGAGTTTCGACTGCCAAAAGGGCCATAGACCTATTGCAAGCAGAAGAATCCGATTGATCCTGAAATAAGAAGTCACGATGGGAACCATTTCTCCCTGGGAACATCGAAATACATCCGACCGCGAAAGAATCGATGAAGATTCACGCGTGTGGGCTTTCCTTTCGACTGTTCAATTGCAAGTGCTGCGCAACTTTTTCCCCCTGGTGCAAATTTCAATGTGAATTGCGCAGGTGGCGCGAACGTGGTGCGCAAGGGGGCGTAAGGTGGCGCGAAATTGCGATGATGAAAGTGGCCGAACTGTTATTGCGACAATTTTTGTGGGAGAATAGAGCGGCAATTAAGGTATCGATTTGACACCTGGAGAAGAAGCAACACATGTTTGTTTCCCGTAAACACGCAGAGCAACGGTTACCAGGTGGCTTTTCGGTGAAACGCAAGCGCAGTCAACCCTTCGCAACACCGCTTCGTACTCTCTACTTCACTTCAGTTCGCGTATTCGTACGTTACGTTTCGTCCTTGAGAGAAGTCGGTCGGTTGCGGTCGTACTTCAGCCACACTTCGCTCGTGGAATTGTCGCGCGCAAAATGTAAAGTGAAGTGAAAATCGCAAATTCAAACGTTCATTGCTGTTCGGATTCAAGAAACGTGGAAGGAGTCAAAGAATTGCGTGGCGGGATATCAACGATTGTGAAGATTATTCAGCGGAAGTTGTGCAAGTAAGAGTTATCATTATGCAATAAGGAAAGATAAATAGGAGAGAGAAAAATATAATATATTTAATGACAAGATCAGAAGTGCATTCTGTAGTGAAAAATACTGTAAACTGCAAACATAAATTTATTGAAAAGTTATACTCTAAGTTATATATAACTTTAATCTATATAATAATTCTTATTATAATTCTTCGTTAATTTATATAATTTTTCATTTCCATTGGAAAATTGTGAATATAAAACTGTTAGCTGCTATTCCATGTATATATATTCCATGTATAATAGTGTCACAAAAAGTGTATATTTCTAATTATGTTTTTAGATATCAAAACTAATTAAAAGTACTCGTGGTCGAATACTTTACATTAAACAGTTATATTTCTACATGATTAAAGATCATACCTGAACTAGTAAAATGCTTATCAGAAGACCATGATATAAGATTATCTGAAGTTGAATGATTTTTGATTGTTGGTAAAGCCACATTCCAATCGTGAGCAAAAGTATCCGATTGATGTTCAAATATTCGGACTCAAAGGAGATCATTTTTCTTTGAGTGTCGAGACGCATTTGACCGCGGTGATGCTGGCAATGTTTTGTTCATCCCCTCTTTTCGTCTACGCTATTATTACATATATTTCTCTTTTTTCCAATATAAATTTCGCAAATTATCGCGAAATATCATTGTGAAAACGGAACAATCGCATCTTCACGCGTTTACTGTGATAAAGATAGACGATTATGCGATCGATGGGACAAGGGGAGAAGGAAAAACTTTAATGGACGTACTTATTTTACATAAGAAAAAATACCATTTGGAATTCTCCCTTGACCGAAAACCGTGGAGAGATACCATCGTTAATCTATAGCTTTGTACTTTTGTATACTTTATTGTAACACGAGCACTCGTTAGTTGCATTAGACTCTTCATAGTGGTTAGTTTTATGTAACGCTGAACCGGTTGTCGATTGATGGTTAGAGAAATGTTTGATATTGTGTTTTTGTCAAAAAAAAGTATATCTCTCTTCTATAATCTTTTTTGTGTATTTTTAGCATTCATATTTATACAACTTAATCCAGATGAGCTTTTCTTTGATGATTACACTTACTAAATAAATCAATATAGTTCGGTATTTATAAACATTTAGGTGTGATATTTGCGTATGTATCTCGACGATATGTATAACTGGAGAACAGATTGATTTGAATAAGCACAATAGATTTTATGTTAACAATTTTGATATTCACAGAAATCGAGAAATTAATTCAATCTCGATTTAATCTTATATATCGAGTTAATAAATATCAAGTTCTTGAAGTTGCTACATCAGTAATGGCAAAATACATCAGTCATCGGCAAAATAAAAGAAACAATAAATTGTAACTTAAAGTTTACGTTGATCTCTGTTGAAAATAAGATGGAAATTCATATATGAAATCCCATATGAAATCCCATAATTGCCTTTGAGAATTTTCGGCAAAAACCCAAATTCTAGGTAACAATCTATATAAATTCCAATTTGAATTTTAATACATTAGGTTCCTATGTGATGATGATAATGATGATGATGATGATGATATAAGTACCTATATGGATTTTTACACATATAAATTCCTATATGGATAATTGATTTTTAATATCATATATAGATTCTTATGAGTTTTCTTAGAATAAATAGAATTCTTAGAATAATCTTTACTTCGAATTATTGAAAATTTTCATCAGGGACACTTGTTACGTACACGATAACTTGTACATCATATTTGAAATATAAATTATACAGACAAAAATGCTCATGTTAGTAGAATCAGTGAATAGAGTCATAATTCATATAAATATTTTTTATATACTAGCAATGTTATTGAAGCTAATACTCGAGTTATAAAAACAATGTATGGTGTATTCTTTTCAGCAATATATTTTTTAATAGAAATAAGAAAATTTACTCTTATTATAGCACTACTGGCCAATTATATCGATACAATAATATTTTATGTACAGTATATATTTTTTAGCATATAATTTTCAATATTTATATATTTTTATATTTATATTTATATATTTTTATATTTTATATTTATATATTTTTTTATTTTCTTATCATAAAAAACTACACTACAAATTATGAAAGAATAAACATGGATCTTATATGTCTTACAATTTCACTTACTAGTTAACAAGTGTATTTAAAAAAATCCACAAAAATTCGACACTACATTCATTACGTATCTTTCTGTATGTCATGAAATAATAAATCTTTGCGTCATTGTCTTGTAGAACAGAGAACGATGAAATAAGATATGGAGGTATTTATTAACTGTATAAAAAATTATCAGCCTTACTTAGTTCGTTCAAAATATGTTACATCGAAATTGGCATATTACTATGATTGATTATTTACCGTGCCGACACCTTCTAAGGATGTTGCGAACAACCCACCTAATTTCCAAGTAAAAGGTTTCGTGCCTTTTTGCAGCAGGAACAGCACCATTTTCTGTATGCGCACGGGAGTTACATACCACCGTGTGTTGTACCTACGAAAGTGGGTGATAATTGAACGAAAATTAAGTAAACAACTTTCAACAGACGTATATTCAATTTGTATGTCAAACTTCACCACAAACGTTTTGAAAACTGAATATATTTATATATTATTGTATACTTGTAATATGATTATTTCCTTACACAGTAACAAATATATGGTTATTATGATCTAAAATTTCTTGAATAAAATAGTTGGATATGAATATATATACAAGTATGACGCATACAATTATGGAATGTAACACCAACTGCTCGACATGACCACCATACGATATAATCTGGAATATCTAAGACACTACAAATATAATAACTTTTTTATAAATGTTTTATATTTATTTGCATTTATTTGCATCGACGTAATACTGAGCAACAGTAATTTATCACTGGTTATCTTATCACAGCCAGTAATATTTTTTTGTACGGGAAATTGGAAATGGCAAGAAATTAAGACAAAAGAAATAAAAAATATATGATTATATAACAAATATATTTTGTTGCATGAGAATTATTTAATCTGGATCGGACTGGTATTATTAATTATTAGATTTATATTTATATTGGCTCTATTAGCGGTTTCCTCACAGAAAAGTATTACTGTTAAGTATTAGGGAAAATGCTAATGATTAATCACTGATTAGTAATTCAGAGATTTTTGGCCAATTATTGCAACAATTAATTTCTGCNATTATGTTGATGCAAATAAATTAATAAATAAAAAATTATGAAATGAAACAAACTAATATGTCATCGGTCATTTTATAATTTAACTTTTATAAAACTTACTCGATAAAAATTGAGGCTCAAGCAAATCACTTCACATAACGTCATGCAGAAAAATAATTTCTCATTATCAACAAATAAAAAATTCATAATCCTTCAAAAACAAGAGAAAGCGTTATTATGTGAATTCTATATTACTGGAGTATTACCAAATAAATACAAACGTTATAGCCTTGCGATGAATATCCACAGCGAGAAATATTCGATAATGAATCATATTTTCAGTCTTCAAATCAAGAGTTTCCGTAATATTAATCTCCAATGCCTGCTCGATGCGGTAACTAAAATCAGTTTATTACTTAATTGTCTGTAAAAATTCATCATAAACGATAGAAAAGATGTACATTTAGAGTGCAAAAAACTAAATTATTTTCTTCTTTTCCTTACCTGGCAATTTTAAACATACTGGAAATAAGAAGAACACAAGCTATTAACATTGTTCCAGTCGCTAATATTACAAACGTCCCCACACAAAAGATAACGTTCACGTGCAGCAAAATTAAATGAAAACACTTCTCTTCATCGACAAAATATTCGGCTACAATGTATATTGTGTGACGTAACTGAGAAGCATTTATGAATTGAAAAGCGATGAGAATGGAAGGCAACGATGTCTGGATAACAGCAATAAGTACGCAGGACATACCAAACACTATGAATAATCAAACAGACACATTCGTATAAACAATTACTTTTAATTTTCTAAAGCACCAAATCGTTAAGCGTTTTATATTTATTATCGTCCTTTTATCACCAACTATGACTTACAAAAAGGAAACCATTCAAAATTGTAAAATCAAACAAACTCACAGAATGAAGTTCAGAAACGGAAGATAATGCGACGCAGCATGCATATCCTTCTGCATGCTCGCTTAAGTTACTAACTTTATTTATTTTAAGCGGTGCAAAAAGTTGCCTAACGATCCTTTAAGAAAAGGTGGAAGGAAGTTGTTGAAACAGTGAGAGGAAAGTCCTATCCGGACGAAACACTGGACATAATGTAAAATCGGACTTCACTCTATGAGTTCGTTTGATTTTGCAATTATGCCTCATAGTTCATCCGAATGGAATATTATATAAATGTTCAGAAACGAGATTTGTATATGTGGCAGAGATAGAAGGTTTATCATATTGTCAGAGTGTGATTGAATTTTAGTTTACTTTGCAATCTGTGAAAAAAATAATTAATTTCTAATTAATGTCTTACGTGTGAGCATAACCGTGGTATATTTTGCTGTGCTTCCGTAACTTTCTAGAATAGCGATTTCATTTTTATCTTTCAATTCATTATAATTAAACTGGATTTGCTCCAATGTATGCTTTATCTGTTACATTAATAATATTTTACATGCGGTTTCTCTTGTTGAAAACAATTTATATAACAAATTTATTGTGTAAAAAAATTAATTTAACTTTGACGTACGGTTAGTCACATTTATAAATAAATTTGCATTAAAGCGGGAAATGACTAAACGACTGATTTAACATACACTTTGTTTGTTAAAGCAGAAAGCGCTGTATTGAATTACATATATGAAAGTATATGATATTTCAGATAGAACTTCGATGACGAAATCTGCAGTACATTCTGTAGTCAAGAACGCTGCTAGCTGCAAATAATAAACATGTTAAAATAATAGCACTAAAATACGTCTATATTATCCTCTATTATTTCTTATCGGCTGACAAATTGTATTTTAGAACAAATTTTCAGTCGTTTTTTCGTGTATAACAATGTCACAAGAAGTATATATTTATAATTATGTTTCTCTATATCTCTAATAATTAAAAGTGTCTATACAATCAATGTTAAGTATTTATATTTGTATGCGGATGAAAAAATAAACGACGGCTGCAAAAATGGCGCTGTTGCTTATCTTCTTATACAATTATTATAATTAAAAATGACATACCTGAAATACTATGATACTTAACAAAACAGTGTAAACCAATATTATTTGAAGTTGAACGATTTTCGAATGCTGATAAGGCCACATTCCAATTACGAACGAAAGTATGCGATTGACGTTCAAATACTTAGTTTCAAGGGAGATCATTTCTCTTTGAGAGTCGAGACACGTTTGACCGCCTGTATATCGGCGGGGGTTCATTCATCCCATCTTTATCCAAGCCACTAGTTTTTTTGGCTGATTCTCCCCTTGTAAATTGTCCAATTGAATGTAAACGAGACGCAATGTGTCGCGAAATGTTACCGTGAAAACGGAACAACCGCATCATCACGCGTTTGCTACGGGGTAGAGACGGACGATTAATCGATCGATTGGGCTAAAGGAGAACTTTAATGGATGTGCTTATTTCTCATAAAAAAAAAATACCACTTGGAATTCCCCCTTGCCTATCGTGAAGGTGCAGTCATTAATATTCTAGATAGCATAACGTCTAAAATCGAGTTATAAGACGTCTTTAAGGTTTTTGTATACTTTATTCTAGTGAGAACAGAGTTAGTTACGTTAGACTTTTCTTAGAAATGTCAGTTGTTCGTCCTGTGTAACACTGCACCAACTTATCTTCGGTGAAGTGTGCAACTTGTGAAAGAATATACAAATATCTTATATCCCTCATAGCTTTATTCAGCATATATACAGAGTCAACACGAGAAAAAGGAAACGCTTACCATGTACCTATGTGCCTCTAAATGACAGATCTTTACCTCAACGCTGCGTTGAACATAGGACAGTGAAATATGACATGGCGGCACTTATCAACTGCAAAAAGGTAACTTTCATATTGTTTGTTCATATGCGCTACGCCGACGTTGCACATTAAGGCATGATTTATTATTTACCGTGGCGATACCTTCTAAATATGCTGTAAACACTCCACTGAAATTTAGAGAAAAATTTTTGGTGCCCTTTTGCAACATGAATAATATCATTCTCTGTATATGTAAAGGAGTTACATACCACCGTGTGTTGTAACTATAGGAAAAGATGGTAAACGAAAATTAAGTGATGCAGCGAATAACGTTCAACGTTCAAGTGTATATTCACTTTAGCAGTAATGATTGATTCTGTAGACGCATCGCAGAACAAATACTCAAATATGACTGGCAAGCATGTATTGTTATTATTTCCTTACACGGTAACGAATGCTTGGTTATTGTGATCCAAAATTTCTTGCGCAAAATAGTTAGATACGAATATGTATAGAAGAATGACGCCAACAATTATGGAATGTACCATCAGTTCTTCGATATTACCTCTACACGACACAATCTAGGAGATCTAAGACGTCACAATTGTGATAAATATTTATATATAAATGTTATTATATTCATTTAACACAGGCGAATCCAAAATTCAAAGAATTAAGTTGAAAAAATAAAAAATACACGTTTATATACGATCCGTCTGAAAGATTTTGATGTCCTCAAATATTACCGTGAGATCGGAACACCCGCAATATTGTGTGTTTTCTAAGATAAAGACGGACGATTACGCGATCGATTCGTCGAGAGAGAACTTTAGTGAAGTACTTACTTCTTATGAATAAAAAGAAGTTTCGCACGAAATTTCTTCTTGGTCAAAAACCGATGGAAGGTGCAATTGTAAATCTATAGCCTTGCATTCTTGTATATTTCATTGCAGCAAGAGTATTAGTTAGTTAAGTCAGACTTTTTATACAGGCGTCAGTTGTGAGTTCTATATAACACTTCACCAGGTATCGATTAATAATGGGTGAAGTGAACAAATCATAATGAGTACAACTCATGAAAGAATACATGAAAATATTATGTCCTTCATAACTTTATTCAGAATATATATATAAATATATATAATCAAGAAATATAGGAAAAAAATTCAACACTGTAACGCTAACCATGCTTTTTCTTCTTTCTTTGTTATGGTTTTTGAAGCGACAAATCTTTACGTCATTGCTGCATAGAATATAGAACGGTGAAATAAGACATAGAAGCACTTAACAGCTGTAAAAGTAATAACATCTTTGTATGGTACTTTTGAACGCGCTACGCCGTCATTGGTGCAAAGACGTTTATTCATTACTTACCGTAGTGCTACTTTGTAAAGATATTAAGAACATTCCACCTAAATTCAGAGAAAAGTTTTTCGTGCCACTTTGCAACAGGAATAGTATCATTTTCTGTATATGTAAAGGTGTTGTATACCAGTGTATATTGTATCTATAAAAATAAGTGGTAATTTGACCAAAATTAAGGGATAGTTATAAATAACATTCAACATGTATACATTCAATTTACAAGTAGTGATGGGCTGCGGTTGCAATTCTAAACGAACGTTCGTAAGTGAGATGGTGTTTTCGTAATATTAATATTTTCTTACGCAGTTGCGAAAACTTGGTCATTGTGGTTTAAAATGTCTTGCACGTAATAGCTGGCTAAAAATATGTATACAAGAATGGTGAAGGAAAATACGCAATGTACTGCCAGCATCTCAAAACTACCTCCAAATGTTATAATTTGAAAAACCTAAAATACCATAAAATTCAGAAAATTTCTTTTACGTCTCACAATTTACACCAACAACAAAGTCTAAATTTCGAAAAGTTAAAAAACAAATTCGTAAATATCAAATTTATTTTGTCGCATAAAAGAAAATTAGTTAATCTAGAGAGACGGGCGGTAATTATTGTCATATTAATTTCGAGATAGTGCCATTAATTTTGAAAATCTGACTTCCAATATTTGTGATACATTTTCGTACGATATAGATAACATATTCATTTTCTGTTTTAGATTTGTTATTATATGAAATTTAATGTGTATAGGATGTTCTATCAACATACTGAGTAGTATGCTGAATTGTGGCTATTAAGGGCATACGACTAGCTTGAGTTCATGCGGCAAGTTCTCACTCATTCACATATGCCCTTATCACTGGTAACCCGGCACACTGCTCAATCTGTTGATGCAACACTCTGTACATATTTCCTGCATAGATTCTGTGTACTGTCGCGGACAGAAAAATTATGGCATACCTTAAATATAGCGATATCAGAAATTTCGAATTTAAAGTACCATTTCTGAATGGTAGTGCATCATGACAGCTGATTGTTTTGTAAACCGGCAAGACTGCCTAAGCAACAATCATGATGCACAAATATTCAAAAATGATGCAGTTACATCGAAATGTCCGATATCTTTATACCTAGGAAATGCAACAATATTTATGTCCGTAACTATACCAGATTTACAGCTTTTATTCGTGATATTCTATAGATAATATATTCACTTCCTATTACGGACTCTTTTATTATCTCGAAATATTTAAGCAATTCATCGGAAATGGGATATACTTACTCGAATAGAAATACTTACTCGATAAATGTTGAGACTCAAACAAATTACGATGCATATCACGGTACAAAAAAATGATACTTCGAAATTAGAAAAAAGTAATTTGGTGAGCCTTCAAAAACAAGAAAAGATTATTATATGAACATAATACACGTATTATGGAATAAATACCCACATCATTGCTTTGCGATGAATATCCACAGCGTGAATTATTGCATTGTAAATTATAGTGTTTCTCTTAAAATCCACAGTTTGTGTAATATTCATCTTCATTGCTTGCGCGATACGATAGCTGTAATCAATATTTCCGGCTTGATATAGTCTATGGAAATATATCACAGACCATGGAAACGATGTTATATATTAGCAATCTGAATGACAGTAAAATTTGTTTCCTTCCCTTACCTGGCGATTTTAAACATTGCGCAGAAACATTTAAAAATACTTAATATCATTGTTCCAACTGCTAATATCACAAACGTTCCTACACAAGAAATTAAGGTGGTATGCAACAATGTTAAATAAACATGTTTCCCTTCATCAACGAAATATTCGGTTGTAATGTATGCTGGATGTGCTCGAGAATTATTTTCGAAATAAATAATTTTCAAGATATATGAGCACCATGGCTGGAAAATAGCAATAAGTAGGCAGAAAATGGCAAGCACTGTGAATAATATGAGGATATTCATTTATACTTTCTTCTTCATTTACAACAAATGTGGAATTGAAACATTGAATGCAAACATTGAAATGCTAAATATGTTATATTTATTTTCTGTCATCACTATCTCACACATCAAATGTTGGTTGCTTTCCAGATAAACAGAAATGCTGAATATAGTAAGCAAACATTTAATGTATGCTTTGTGAGGTCATTTCAAAATATTTATATATCATATTTAAAATATGATTCTTTTAAGAAATATTTATTTAATACGCTCATTTAATGATTTTAATCAAAGTACCTTATTACAATAATACTGGAATAATTGCATTCTCTTATGGGAGAAATAAGCAAGAATATTTATGGTATCAAAATATCAAAATATCAAAATATCGCCGACAGCGGAAACTAATATGATACATTATGAATAATAAAAATATGAAATATTAAGAATAATAAAAATTTTTTTAAATAAGTAATTTTATTTAACCCAAACATGGAGACGTTACATTAAAGTGTTAAATATTTTGTATTTATTTGTCCTGTGTACCGCATGTCGGTTTTTTGTGGAGAAATCAAAATTTCAACTTTTTCTAAAGGTGTGAATTCTTTTGCTTGTAACAATTATAAAAATAACTATCATGAAGTGAAAAAAATACATATATATATATAACTATTTTATATATATATATATATATATATAATAGCCGTTTGTTATATACGAATTCTACATATCTATATAAATCTGCGTACTAATTAATTTTTCTAATTTTATTTTGTTGTAATGCAACTTTAGTCTATTTTATAATCGGCGAAACAGTTAATTGATGTCTCACGTGTGAGCACAGCCGTTGTACGTTTCGCTTTGCCTCCGTAATTTTCTACAATAGCGATTTCATTTTCATTCTCCAACTCATTATAAATATATTTTATTTGATCCAGTAAATGTTTCACCTGTTGCGACAATAATATTTTATATTCTTCCACTTTGTAAAATAAAAAAAAGGAAATATAAATTGTATATAAAAATTAATTTAAAAATATTATATATTTAGATTTGCTTGAGAAGGCAATAATATAAGCAATATTATTAGCAGACCTGGCTTGACTAAACTTACATTCTGGTTGTTACAGTAGAATGAGTTGTACTTAATTATATATAAAGAAAAATATATTATACTAGAAAGAACGTCGAGGACAAATGTGAAAGTATTTTCTGTAGTCAAGAAAGCAGTAAGCTAAAAATAATAAATTTAACGTGAAATGACACAAAAGCATATTAATAATATGTTGTATATTTTTTACCAATTTTTAACCAATTGAGAAGAAATATAAGTATAGAATTATCGATGGACTCTCCGCACAATAATGCCGTAATAAGAATTTATTTATTATTAAGTTTTGATATCTCAATTAATTAAAAGTAATTTACGGATTAATTAATAACACTCGTAGTGGTATAATTATCATCAAATAATTACACTTTTACATGAGAAAACTTAACGATGGCTGAAAAAGAGTTAATGGAATAACATATTATATAATTATCAGAATTAAAGATATATCGACGTACCTGAAATATTATGATGCTTATCAAAATAACGTAAACTAGTATTATTTGAAGTTGAACGATCTTCGATTGCTGATAAGGCCACATTCCAATCGACAATAAAAGTACCCGATTTATGTTTAAATATTTGGTCTCAAAAGAGATCATTTCTCTTTTAACGTCGAAACGCGTTTGAGAGCGTGTGTGCTGTCGACAATCCATCCATCCCCTCCTTCTGTTCAAACCACTATGTGTTTCAAGTAGTTCTCTTTTTCAAACATATATTCCACCATAAATTTCCTAATTTAACTAAATGGTACGCAAAATTTCCTCAAATATTACCGTGAGATCGGAACACTCGCAATATTGTGTGTTTTCTAATATAAAGACGGACGATTACGCGATCGATTCGTCGAGAGAGAACTTTAGTGAAGTACTTATTTCTTATGAATAAAAAAAAGTTTCGCGAGGAATTTCTTCTTGGTCAAAAACCGATGGAAGGTACAATTGTAAATCTATAACCTTGCATTCTTGTATATTTCATTGCAGCAAGTTTATACGCTAGTTACGTCAGACGTTTCATAGATGCGTCAGTTATTAGTCCTATATAACACTACCGGGTATCGATTAATAATTGGTGAAGTGTATAGTACATAAGGAGTACAACTCACGAAAGAATACATGAAAATATTATGTCCTTCATAACATTATTCAGTATATATATATAAGTATATATAGTCAAGAAAAATAGGAAAAACATTCAATGCTGTTACGCTCACCACGTTCTTTCTTATTTCTTACGTTGTTTTTGAAGTGACAAATCTTTACGTCATTGCTGCATAGAATATAGAACGGTGAAGTAAGACATAGAGGCATTTAAGAGCTGTAAAAGTGATATCATGTTTATATGATACTTTTGGACGCGCTACGCCGACACTGGTGCATTAAGACGTTATTCATTACTTACTGTAGTGCTACTTTGTAAAGATATTGAGAATATTCCACCTAAATTCAGAGAAAAGTTTTTCGTGCCCCTTTGCAACAGGAATAGTATCATTTTCTGTATATGTAAAGGTGTTGTATACCACTGTATATTGTATCTACAAAAATAAGTGGTAATTTGACCAAAATTAAGTGATGGTTAATAAATAATATTCAACATGTATGCATTCACTTTACAAGTAATGATGGGTTGCGGTCGCAATTCTAAATAAATGTTCGTAAGTGAGATAGTGTTTTCGTAATACTATTATTTTCTTACGCAGTTGCGAAAACTTGCTCATTGAGGTCTAAAATTTCTTGCACATAATAGCTGGCTAAGAATATATATATAATAATGACGGTGGAAGGTACGCAGTGTATTACCAGCATCTCGATACTACCACCAAACGTTATAATTTGGAAAATCTAAAATATCATAAAATTCAGAAAATTTCTTTTACGTTTCACAATTTACACCAACAACAAAGTCTAAATTTCGAAAAGTTAAAAAACAAATTCGTAAATATCAAATTTGTTTTGTCGCATAAAAGAAAATTATTTAATCTAGGGAGGTAGACGGTAATTACTGTCACATTAATTTCGAGATGGTGCCATTAATTTTGAAAATCTGAACTTCCATATTTGTCATTCATATTCATGTAATATAGATAACATATTCATATTTTCTGTTTTAGATTTGTTATTACAAGATATGATAAGGGTGTTGCATCAACATAATGTGTAGTATGCTGATTTGCCGCTAGTAAGGGTACGTGTGAGAGGATAAGAGTGCGCGCGACTCGAACTCGAGTTCGTGCAGTCACGTACTCACACTTTCAAATGTGCCTTTATCAGTGGTAACCTGGATCACTAAAGGACGAAGCGCCGGGTGCAAACGGCCACAATATATATATATTAACGCGCCACAATATATAATTATATATATATATATATATAATTCAATTCTATATTTATGTTGAAATTTTACTAAGTAATTACAAGAGGGAATCAATAAAAAGATGTATTACTTCTAGAAAAATCACCATCTGCGTGCTACTCCCTTTCCACTCTCCAATATTATGCGCATATATTATTTCTGGCGTTAATATATAAAGTATTTTATTAACATATTGAGCAATTTGCTGGTTTGCCGCTGATAAAACACGAATGAGTGAGAGCGCGCACACAAATTCCGGTCGGTTACACGCGCGCTCTCATTCTTTCATATGCCTTTTCAGTGGTAACCAATGGTATTCTGCTCAATATGTTGACGCAACATCCTGTACATAGGAATATTTGACGGCCATTTTGATGTCCTTTAACAAAATGTCTACGCATTTTACTGAAACTCTTGCTTCGGCCCAGGATCCACTTTAGGAAACTTATAATTTTTAAATGTACGAATTTATATGTTGAATATTGTTTTGTTACCTGAAGCTTGTGGTATTGCTTGTAAAATCACATGAACGATTTCTTGGAATTGTTATAACCGCGCGTTAATATACTCAGCGTTGCCGAAACACCAAAAACGTTTCGACAACACCATGAATATGCAATGCTTGCAAGAAAAGCACCGCGTTGCAAGAAAGCGGTACTCACGCCACCACACAATTTCCGGATGGCGCGTCCGCTAACCTGTTGTTAATACATCCCCTCTAAAGAATAAGGAGAGACTATAAAAGAGCCGCGCCGATTAGAAAGGCGGAATTTTCAATATTAAACCTCGCACTATCGCGCATCTCCCGTAATTCGTATAATCGCTGCCGGAAGCAGCGTGAGTCAACGACAAGGTTCCCAATCGGTAACAAACTGTTCAAAATTTAAAATAAATTAAAAATTTTTAATTTAAAATTTAAAATAAAAGCCTTCTTACGTACAACTCTTCTCGCATACAACGCCCGTCATCCCACTATCCCCAATTCCCGAATATACGTCGTGTCTCGGGACCACCCGGGTGTGACAGAATCCATAACGAATCGTTATTTTCAACTTTTAAACTTAATTACGAGATCAAATGAACGGAAGAGAAAAGAATAAATTTTTTTCCAAGGATATCCGTTTTCTCTTTTTAATTCACACGGGATTGCATAAATTCATAAAAAAATACAGTAGAAGAGACGTTTCTTTTAATTGTCAGTGTGAATGAGTGTTTTGTTTGATTTAATGCTTGCCTAACTCCTCGATTATCCGTTAGTAGATGAGAGAGGCCGGTTCTGGCTCAATTGGATCTGTTTTACCGACCGAGTAGCAAATCCAGTTGGCGCAGTTGGATCTGTTTTACCGGCCGAGTAGCAAAAACCAGTTGGCGCAGTTAACGCAGTTAGCGCAATTGGCGCAGTTGGCGCTGTTTTTATTTTTTTACCGGCCGAATAGGGCCCCCCTCCAACGGTCGGTAGGCGCTGTTTTTTACCGGCTGAATAGGGCCCCCTTCAGTGGTCGGTACCCCCTCCTCCGACAGTCGGTATACCATCGCGCACCCCCTCCTCCGGCAGTCGGTATACCCTCGCGCATCCCCTCCCTCCCCCTGTTCGCGAGG